CTTCCTTTTTCCTCTAGAAAAAACAAATGGGAAACTGCAGTAGCTCACCACATCATGCACTATTCTAAACACACACAAAAAAACACAACACCCAACACACAGCTAGAACATTTAACATAGAAAGCTGTTGGTCAGTAACTCAAACTCAGAGATTTGAACTTCAACAAGTGCTGTTTTGCAACACAACATTGGTAATATTTTAAATGCAGAAAAAACCTATACAATTTTATTTCAAGAACATCAACAAAACCATAGCTGTATCAATACAGAAAACAATTTAATTTGTTTCAAAATACATATTTGACATACAAAGCACATACAGTGAAAAAGGGTCGCAATAAATTACAAATGGAGATACTTGCTCACTCACTGAGAAAAGCCCTCGATACTTCCAATTTCATACCATCAAATTTATCATTCTTGCTGATTTAAGCACAGCACTAAACAAATATGGATCCCAGTGCTTTCTTTCACAGGTACTGGCATGGATAATTTACTGCAGTGATCCAATTTGAAAATCAGTAGGGACCAGTAAATCGCTGCATAAAAGAGCGAGCGAATGAGGTGCTTTTTCCTTAGTGTCAGCAGCCTGTGATTATTATGTTTATTAGATTTTCTTGAAAGGGCTTCACATTTTCTCAAATATGCAGGAGAACTATATTTCCCCTCTGAGCCCTTACATTAGCATTTTGTGCCTCAGTCCCTGAATACAAGTAAAAGATGAATTTTTCAATTCATTTTAGAAGTTTGTACCATCTGGATGGCACAGAACTAAGCAATGAAACTCCCTTACCTGCACACTATCTGTTATTATCACAGACCTAGCTTCTGCAGAAAAGTTAATAAGTAATGCTGACATTTTATGAAAAAGATATTCTTGAATCCACATTTAAGATTAAATTCAATTACATTATCCATACTGATAATGCATCTTTGCAATAAAGGATTGCTTAAGGTTCTAGCCTTAAAAAGCGATTTAGAACAGCAAGGCCCAACTCTTCCTGTGATTTTAAGAAAGTTATAGCACAATAAAAGTTACAGTACAAAGATACACTAACCAATTTCAGTATATATAGTTTAACCATAAATACTTGCACTGTAGCAATTATAGACAATTACAACAGACCAGCATACCCTACTAACATCTGGCATGTAAGTGCTTGCAACCTTGCTCTGTTATTTTTCCTCACCAGAAAGATAAGGATACCAGGGGCCGTACCTAGCTCTTGCACGTGGGAATCAATTTTTGACACCACTTTAAAAGAACATGCTGTTCTAGCTCAATGGTCTTTGCTACCCTTAATCTGAGCACCATAAGGTACAGTACATTTTGAAACCATTTAAGCAGCAATCATTTTGAAAACAGGACGAAGAGGTCGATGTGGTATAGAAACAAATCACAGTTCCCCATGTATACTTGTGTACGTCTTTTTCCTATTTCCTGCTCTGCCAGAGCTCTTATATCACCTTAGACAAATGCTCTTTCCTTCCATGCCTCAGAGTTCCTGTCTGTAAAATGGGCAAGAACTGTACTTCCTTAATAAGGGATCTGTACAGCAAATGTTGCAATACAGGTGCCTAACAATAAGAAGGTCCAACAGACTGTACAAAATAACCTGCTACTTTGTTTGGACAGTACTATCACATATATAGTTAGCAGCTCAAAGACTGTTGGAACAAACAGTGGCTCATGAGCATATTAAAAAAAATCCTTAAAACGTGTAACTTAAAACACTAAGATATTGCTCCCCTTGAACATTCACCAAAAAAAGGGAGCAAAACATAAAACTGACAGCACAAAAATGACAACAGAAGTATAAAATTAAATAAAAGACAATAAAGGAAAGGATGGATGCATTAGTGAATTGCTTTGTGTGTAAGAAATCCCAACTGGCATTAGCTACTCCAACAGACCAACTGGGTCTTGATGCTTTATTTATCTACAAGTGAGATCAGACAAGTCTTACACTGGAGCATCACTTCTACAGCAAGCTTGCGCACAGCAAGGGGCGGGTCCAGCACGAATTTACAAAAGACAATAAAAACAACCAGTGTGATTCATACCAGCAGAAACAGCTACCACATTAGGTAGGTAGGTCCCTTCAGTAGGACAAAAACTCTTCTGCTTCATATTTGGGTATTTTTATGGTCAGTTGCAAAACTTCTCTACCATCACAGATTCTGTTACAGCCTCTGCATGACAGCTAGCTGTTGACAGCAGCACAAACACACAGTTCTCTTCACCAGAAGAGTCTTAAGCTACGAGGAAACAACCAGCATTTCATATGTGATTTAATTGTTAGTATAAAAACAGTCACAAACTGCAGTAAGGAAGCAGGCACAAGGACAGAATGTTTTTGCCAGCATTGAGGAAACTCAAGTGTTATCACTTTGGCTGCCTAAAGGCTACAGTAAAAATCAAAATTGATGCAGAGTGCAGGTCAGTTGCTCAATTTATTTTGCCTGGAAGTTATTCTTACCCCATTGTTCCATGTTTTTCTTGGCACATCAGAGAGGTAAGTTTTACCAGGCCACAAGTAAAATCCAGGCCTCATTTGTCAAACAACTCCTTGCAAAGCCAAGAATATACCACTAGCCAGATTAAACCCCATTTATGAAAGATCTTTTTCCTCTTGATCCATTTTTAAAACTTAATAGAAAGAGTTAACAAGAAATCTAGTATTCACATATAAGCTCTACTTCACAGCACTGTCTCCCAACTCTCTACTTACTGAAATCTCATTCACTTATTCCTTTTAATCTTCCTCATCCGTTCAGAGTTGGATCACAAGATTTAGCATCCTTCAGTTACAGGTGCAATACATCAGATCCAGTTTAGACTCTTCTCTAATAACAGCATACAATTAAAGGAACAGTAGAATGCACCCATAACAGCAGTCTCAGACTACAAAAGTTTGCTCAGAAGTAACATGTTATTTTGTTTACACTAACTACAGAAGTATTTATTTGCCTTCCACTCCCAGTATGGTGGACCAACTCAGATGACCAAATTAATTTTTACATCAGTGGTGCAAAGACCTGAACAGAGTCTGATGTCACCACTCAAAAAATATACCACGCAACATGGAAGAGGGTCTAGAACAGTGCTGAGACTTGAAATGGTGATAAGTAGGTCTAAGATTTCTGCTCTGATTAGGTATCACTGTTGCAGTGCTTATTCTTGGGTTAAATTTTGAAGGGTCATGAATTTTTGCACTTTAGAAGGCAAAAATTCTCTATAATTTAGAAATGCACAAGACATTATGTCCCAATTCAGAAGCAGCAGTGGGAATATAAGAACATGCACACATACAGGACAGCATTCTGCTCAACTTCCAGGTTCAAGCATCAGTATGTTCTGTTAGAAAGAAAATAAGCTTTAAGAGCCTAGCAAGTTACATTTAACACTCCTTTTATTGCAGTAGAAATTTTAGTTTTTATAAAATCCTCAAATTACAGGATATACATATAGAGAATCTCATTGCAAGTCTTTAGCAGCTGTAGACCATTACTGCATGCAGTTGCTTCTGCAGTGCACAAGTGTTCTATAAATAGCTAATCATGTTCAGAGAGCAAGACAAGTAGTCAAAGAGTATCATTAAATTACCCATCGGTTCATCAGTACCAAGAGGTTGAGCAAAAAATGAAATAAGTTTATAAATACATGACTCTGATCTAACAAACTAGTACAACTGGAAAGTCTGAATGACATCTACATCACAAACAAGACAGCTCAATGGTTACAGGAAAATACTTTGCTTCAAGACTGTTTTCGAAAGTGGTTCACAGAAGATTTCTCTGACCAAGGAATAATAGTTTAGTACAGTGCTACAGAAGTTTACAAAAGGCCAATGAAATTCATTTAATTTTATGCAACTAGAATGCTAACATTAACTACAGAAGATTAGGCAAATACTTTGCCCTGAATTTACAGAAAGAAGTTGTGTTCAGACAGATAATATTCTTTTTCCATGACCTACCTTTCAGCTGCTGGGTGAATGCGTAATCAGCACTCAATTTAATATTCACTTCTGTAGTCATGACACCAACTTCAGATCAGTTATCAGATGGATTCATGCCAGAAAAATGCTACAGCCATTTGTTTCAGAAGCTGCCTGAACAGGTGCAATCCTTTATGCAAATTTCCCATCACAATAAGAGTCTCAGAAACTGGAAGAACAATTTATATAGAGCTAGCTACAGATTAATTTTCTAAAGAGCTGACATGCTTGAATTACTGCAGTCTCACATTTGTGTAGACACAAGAACAAATCTGCAATGATTCTGCAAAAGTTACTTCATTTACATTGATTAGTTCACTTAAGAGATGGTTAAAAGTTTAAGCATTGCATCTTTGTCTGAAAAGCCTACAGGTCAGCAATTTGGCTTGGTAAAACATCTTGTTATGACAAGATAACTGCACAGAGTTTTCCCGTGATCAGAGTCTTGAGATTTCTTCCAACAACATAATGTAAGACTACATCACAAGGTAGAAACTTGGAAGAGTTCTTTTTAAGCAATATTAGTAAGAATACCCTCTCCTTCAGAAAAGGCATTAACCATGTCAACTGGATAGATTTTAATCCCTTTTGTTAAATTCAACGTGGGTCATATTTTTTCATTGTGTATAGTAATTTAGACAAAATGGTTCTACAAAAACATTTAGTAAGCAGAAGAATACTGTCCAAAGTGTACTGCATAGGTACGTGTACCAACTGCTATCCACTGGAGCCATCCTACAGTAGCTATAGTTCCAACTAACATAAATCTACTGAGCACAGATTTCTTAAAAGTTTTAATCAACCTCAAACAATCCTTGATTCCTAAAAAAATGATTCTGTATGACTGGGCATGTTTTAGATAGGATGCAGCTACCTTTTTTTTCCCCACTGATTAGCAATATAGCACAGTAATTTTAAGTTTCCATGACTTGCGTTTGATATGCTAAATTTCCTATTATCTCCAAGAAAAGCATATACACGTTTTTATACAGCCTGGAGTGAGATCAGTGTAAAACCAGGAATTTATAATCATCAGCAGAAGTGCCAGCTGCTCATAATGTTCACAAAACACAAGTGCCTGAAATTTGGCTATGCAACAGTTGGTGCCAATCTGCTTATAAAGGAAATGCTGCTGAGGCACAGTCTTCTTACAAAAACAGGGCACGAGGGCTTCATTATTAAGTGTTCAACAACAATCCTCAGCTCAGTGAAGAGAGTCCTGAAAAATCAGATGTAAAAGAGTTTTAAAATCCTATAGCATTTATCAGAAACAAGTATCATCTAAGCCTTTTTCATTCGGTTCTCAACATCACACACAGGCTAGTTAGCAAGTTCTTTAGATCAACTCAGTGTTGCAGTATCTTGCAAGAGCTTCAGAATTCTTGTCCTTTCAACATTAACATTGTAATTAACTTTAGTCCAGCAACTTCCAGCTGAGGACAGATATAAAGACAAGAGAAAAATTCCACCTTTAAACAAAACCCCACAGTATTAGAAAAAAAAGTCATCAGAAGTAGCATAAGGAGTTAGAAGGTAATACAGTGTTTGTGCTGCTTCTTGCCAGAATGCAAGAACTCTGCAGTCTAGAAGCAACTATTAGAAGACAGGCATGAGAAATAAAACCCAAACCACCAGTTTCCCTTAAAACTACATGAATGCCAGCAGAACATCTTGAATAAACTAGTTCTACTGAAAGTTAGTTTTAGTATTGCACAATTTACAGGCTTTTTTAGATACAGAAGTAGTAAAGCACCTTCATAGATTTTTTTTTTTGTTAAAAAACCTAATGTACTAAGATGGAACAATTGAATTCTTACAAAATAGTACGGAACAGGAGGTGATTAAGTTTACAATTCTCAGACCTGTCTTTGCATACCATGCCAGCCAAAGCCACTTCCTTGGTACTGTAACAAACCATTTTCTAATCAAGTAGCGATCAGACTGGGAAGTACGTTCACGAAATCTTATGCTATGCAATGCTTGTCATAAGAAAAGTTCTGAGAAAGCACTGACCTGAGCAAATCCTCATAGAAATGTTCATGGTTTCAAAGTTTAAAAGCAATAGTATTGGCTTGACCAACTTTCAAATAAAATCAATAAAGCTCTAATTACAATTATAATTAACCTGACTTATGAATATAACTAAAGGAGGTAATTAAGTTTAAGATCATCTACAGATTTTTTCTGTCAACATTAAACAAGTTCCTAAGTGCCTGTTCATGTACAGGCTTAGCCTCTAATCTAAAAATAAGGATATCTTTCTGGTAAATGGTTGCAGAACAATTAAAATACTTTCTTCTCCCAAAAGTGTAGTTGTAATCATGCAAGCATGTTCTGCAAGCTCCCATTCTAGGACAGTGGTACATTTCAGAAAAGTTCAGTTACATGAAATAAACATAACCTTGAACCAGCTGTTCTTTCTTAGCATCCAGGTGTATTCTACATTCTATAATTACCATTTACAGACTTAGTATTATGAGTTATGCATTCATTTTCAAATGAAAAATTTCTGAATGCCTACATACAGTTAAACATTAACTTCCAAAATCAATTTAGTGCTTACCGACAGTATGGATTTCGCCGAGAGGAGTAGCGTAATGTAAGAAATCTATAGTAAATGAATGGCTGGAGCAGACTCCCTTGCCCACTGAAACAGAATAGAGAAGTAGAGCTTAATACTGACTGAAAAAATAAAATCTGGACTTTTCCTAATAAAAGCAAGCAAACTACTTGGGCTCAAAAGAGCTAGACTGGCGTCACATTGGTTCGGATAATCTACATCTGACAAGAAAGATTACATAACCATATATTTATGAAAGCAGAAACTTACATTATAGATAAAACTGCTTAATGAAGCAATTAAAAAACTTCATTACAAGAACAGCACTTCTTTATATCCTTCATTTCTGGTGGTGGGCAAAGAATCACTGAAGTAGTGGTGGACTCCAGTATTAAGAAAAGGCTTGCTGGTCAAGCACAAAATTTGGCTGACAGATAGTCCAGTAACAGTGAGGTTTTTTTCAGCAGTAATCATAGCACTTTCAGTATCTGGACCATATTTCTAATATCTTTTGCAAAATTCTCAGAACATACTGGCAACTATTATAGATATATCAAGATATGTCAAGCTGATATCCAACTATTTCAGTTCCACTGAAATTAGGTTTTGATACTTTGCAAAGCTGCTGTTTCACATGATGATGCTGTAAAATACTGAAAGGGTAACATACAAACCATACGTAGCAAAGCACAGAAGTACCATGAGTTTAATTTTAATGACTGAAGCTTCTTTATGTAACACAGTATTAAATAGCTCCATCTGGAAGTTGAACATGTACATTCCAGTAACTAGAGCAGCTTCAAGTATGAGCAACACCTTTACCCAGAAGAAAAAACATGAAGTGAAAAGGAAGGTGAGCTACAGGAGGGGGGAAGGAAATCTCACACCTGGACAGTATTTACAAGCAATTTAATATGCTTAAAGAGTTTTAAAGAGCTAATTCTCACAATAGCTGCATTTAACCATTAAACTTTTAAAGTTTGGTATATGATCTTTTACAAGCTTCAGTACCTACTAGATGATTAATCAAGCAGCAACACTTCACATACTAAATTCTCCATAGAGAGAGAGAAAGAAAAAAGTTCCCTTACAGAGAACTTTAAAGCACTTAAATGTTTCAGATACTGGATACAGAGCATATCTGTCAGTTGGTAAGTGGCCTTAACTGAAATGGAATCCTTCAGAGCTGAAGCATTGAAGCGTTCAGCTGACATATCAAAAGATAAAGATAAATTATGCATTCTATCAACTTTCAAGAAGCTAAAAGCCTCCCTTCTGCTGCCTATGAGACCACTCTGGACAAATACTCTTACTGTGCTATGACTTGTATAGAACAAAGGGTGTTATTCCCCCTCCAAATATTAAAAGGCAATGACCCAAACTTCAGTGACTGGCAGGTCGTTATGCCTATATGACTTCAGTAGGATTCCAACAGGCATATGCTCAAGATCCCTAAAATGAATTCAACAGGCTGCACAGCAGGCAAAGCCAAATGGAATCAAAAAAGAGAGACAAGGGTCACTGCTCAGAAGTAACACAGGAGAGGACATAACCTATTCCTGTTTGCACACATTTAGCACAATGAAATTTCATGCCACTTAAATTTCTATAATCCAGTAGTCAAAAATTAGAGTTCACTTTCAGTGAAGCTGAAGATCTTAATATTTATTACACTGACCAAAATTAAACTTACTGAACAATGTAGAAGAATGCAAGTTACAGGCCTAGAAAACTTTGATTTGACCCAACATGTCACCCATGCTATGAAAGGGAAGGGGGTTTTGTGCTCAGGTATAGCAGAGTAGATGCTTTTTGATTTCATGATACACCAACTTGAGAAGTCTAGGAATCAAATTTAACTCTAAGTTCAAGTTCTGGTCAGCCAGAACAATACAGATGGAGATCTGTGGCCCACAGAGAACTCAACTGCAAGAAGTAATCTTGTGCAATACGTTTCCAACTTTGAAAATATTTACAGTAATTCTTACCTGAAGAGCATGAAAACTGTAGCTGGCATCAGGAAAATTTCATTGCAAGCAATGAATTTTAGAATATTCTGTTGATTAGCACTCAGTTTCTCTAAAAGATTTCTCAGAAGGGGCAGACTATTTGAACTTCGTGCCTTTAAAGAAGAAAGATTGCCAGAAAACAAACAAGTTACACCAATCTTCTCTAGCACAAAAAAAATACTAACAATCATCATTTACAACTCATTTCAGCATTTTAAGACCAGATCCTTTAAAAGGTATTGATATTAGTATCCCAAAGAAAACTACCAGAAGCCTGGAACTCCGTAATTACATAGAGTTCAATTAAAAACGTGAGGCTCCAATTCCCTCACCCACTCGTTTTAGGTTCAACTGCTCAGAGATGGCCACGAGCTTTATTCTGTTCACTAGGAGGAAGTACCTATAGTAGCAAAATAGCCCAGTTAGGAACACCAAAGGCTGGAGTTACACTGAGCTGCACAAGACAGTTCATCAAGCAGCAGGTCCAACTGGCAAGTATTTTGCTTGCTAGCCTCACCCTGTAGTTTGTTATTTTACTACTGAATTAGAACTTGAAATTTCACAGGCTATGGTTTAGCTTGAAAAGATATGTCTTAAGTTTCAACTGAACTGTTACATAGCATTTGCTTCCTTCAAAGAACAGCATTTAAAGAAAAATAATTAGTGTGAACTCCACGGTATCACTGAATCATAACAGAAGTAGAAAAAAAAAAATCAACACCAAAAAAGAAAAGACTTCTCAGATTCTCTGTGCTGAGATTCCATACCAAAATTTCACTCCAACTCCTCTAGCACAGCTGAAGGAAGCCATAGCTGCAACTCAAACTTGTTTATAAAGCCCAGGAATACTAACAGTATTAATCATACCATACTTACATCAAGAACCTTCTTTGTATATGTGGCAGCATGAAGCAAAGAGAACAGCAGAACTGGAAAAATACTCACTGAAGCAAGCAGTAAGGAAAATAAGCTGCAGAAGTGCTTCATTTCTCCATGATGTTACGCTAACATACAAGTCACAGCTTGATGGCTCTTTGCAAGAGGTTGGCATGACCTATACTGGATTAAGACATGTATATGTCTAACAACTATATAGCTCTTCCCTTTGCTTCTTACATCTCTTTGCTATGCATTTTTATTAGCTTCAGAAGGTATGTATATGCAGGTATGCAAAAGCACAACATACACCATTACACACCAGTGCATTTCTACTGAAAGACGTTCTTTCTGCATGAAAGACACACGTGAGATTACTACTTAAAGTTTATCAAATACATGTAGTCATAATATTCTTTTAATAAAAGATGCAACAAAATACATGTCTTTACCAAAGAACATGCAGTTGCCAGCCATTCAGATTTTAGAAAGCAAGAACGTAGGCATTCCTCCATCAGAGCTTTTAAGAGTAGGACATTAAGCATACATACAGAGTGGCACAAAAGAGAAGTTAGTTTTTACATGTCACCTTTGACAAGCCACAGGAGTAAGTCTTTTTCACAAACTTTGTTTAATAACTTATCTGAAAAAAATCTACTACTGAATAATTGTCTCTCCACAATATATGTCCTAGTTATAGTGAGGAGTCATATAGAAACCCTGTACTGGTAATAAATCAAAGTTACCAACTTCTCAAAGTATCACTTGAGGCTGGTCATAAAATCCACTGAACTTAAGTCTCAGGAAAAGAAAATCCAAGTAGCCAGAGACTGCAGTGCACTAGTTATAGAGGTGATTCATCTGAATATGGATCAATCAACATAAGCCTCTCCTACTTTACACAGAGTAAGTTCTACAAATAGCAAACATATTCTAGTTTATTTTTTTTAATCATGGCACAGGTGATGAAAAGAATCAAGTTTTTAAGGTATTTAAAAACATTACCAGGATGACACAAGTAAAGGATACTTGTAACAGGGTAGGAATTCACAAAGATAAGAGAGTACAACAGGTAGTGGCAGCTGTCCTCCAACAAAGCCTGGGCCAGAAATGCCCTACTAAGCTGAAAGTGCGGTAGCCTTTGGTGTAGTCGGAGGGCACTAGTAAGAGCATTTGCCAGCAAGGCGCGCTGATAAAAGCTTGCTGCTTCATGCAACCTGCAAATCATCAGAGGAGATGTTACCATATGAACCAAGCCCCTGCTCAGAAGTCTTCCACCCTTGAGAATTGCATCACAATTGCACAACACGTGAAGTATTTCTGTTATCATACATAAGCACTATTACCAAAATACAACTCAAAAGACACTAACACTGACTTACCACAGGTACCAAAGGTAAAACAACTCAATATATTACTCCATAACTATACATAAAAACATGCATTTGCCACTACTTGACAGTTGTTCAACACATTTTGCAAACGCATCTAAGAGTGGTTTAAATCAACCTAAAATCTGCAAATTGTTCTGACAAAAAGCATTCAAGTAAGCTGAGTAATAGAAATTTACCCTTACATGAAAGACAACTCTAAGAAAAGGAGCATAGTTACTTTATAAGTTTTTAACACTATTTTACAATATTACAATACATACCCTAGAAGGGGCAGGACAAATAAAGCTGAGCAGTAAACCGTGAACAAGCGAGAAATCCACATGGCTGTATCCAACTTGTTAGCCATCAGAAATTGCTATATTAGAAGAAAAGAAAAAACCCAACCCCCACAGAAGTTGGTATCTTAATGTTTGCATACAATGAGCATTCTTCCCTTCTATATTAAATTGCAAGTCCTTCTCCAACCTTGGATAGGATCAAATTATAGCTTGAAGCAAAGAGCATCCTTTTATTCTGTGTGATACTTGACTCATATGATGTTACTAACCAGATCAAAAATAGCTAGGCTTCCTCAGAATCAAAAGGCTCCTTTGTACATTACAACCAAATACAGCAGTAAGATCTTCTGCGAAGGTAGTTTTTCTGTACAAACCAACCTCACTAAACAGCAGCTTCAAAAAGGTATCATGCAAGGTCTTTAGACCTGACTGACTTTTGTATCTGTTGTTTCAAGGTTCCTTTTAGAATTCACTGCACACACCTGGGGCTAAATCTCCACAATTCTTACTGAGGAACAAAAAAGAAAGGCTCAGATAAAGTTAGCATAACTACATCATTAGGAAAGCTGCATCATTTGACCTACATATTCTTGGCCTCAAAAAAAAAAACCAGAAAAAAGCCTAAAAGCTTTTAACAGTAATCTAGCACCTCTCCTGTTGTTGAGCTCTCCTTAGCCACAGTCCTCTTCATTCCTGGTACCAGAAAGGCTCTAATGAAACACAGCATGCTTTTGGCTACTAGCTGCTTAAGAGAAGAGGCAAAATACCACCTTCCTTTCATCTGAAAGGGCTGAAATTTTTTTCCAAATTTGAGTCAGCTTTTGAGGACTGCTTTTCCTCTATGCTCCTAATCCCTTTTTATGAGAACGACCAAAAGTTAACCCAAGTAACCCGTAAGTACCTTCGTATCACTACTTACTTGCACAACATAACCACGAACGCACAGTTGCTGCCACACGGAATTAGTTTTGATCGAGACACTTCCAAGAAGGGCGGCGCAACAACAGCACACTTTCAATCGGAAAGTGAAAGAGCCGCTTCCCCCCGCCCGTACCCGAGCGAGCGGCCG